TACAATTTACAACTCGCTAAAAAAAGATCTACCTCATAAGGACACTTAGGAAACCCGATGCGGCTTTTAACTAATTTTATAATATTTTAACAACTTAAATGTAAAAATCTATTATAATTAAGAAATAACAAATAATTGTATTAAAAATTCATTTTTCATCGAAAAAAATTTTGCTTTCAGAAAATATTGTCCATATTCATAAAACAACCAATAGCAAATAAAAGCATTTGAAATTAAATAATATCTTTGTTTTATTGCATTCTGTATGTTACAATTCAGAGCGGTGTCCAATTAAAAAAAAAACAAAAAAACTTTGCATTCCTCAAAGCCTTGTGCTTTTAACTATTGTAATCACTAAACCTAACGCGATCGTTTTCATAAAATTAGTTATGGGGGGGGGATAAATATACAAAGATATTTCTGCCATGACTTTAATAAAAAAAACATATTTATAATAATTTCGATCAGCTGTAGATAGTTTCTGAAAGTTTCATTAACATCCGAAAATTATTTATATTTTTGCAAGATTTTCCAAATTAATGTGTGTCATCCAAAAAAAAATACTTGCTAAAAATTGTTTGTTATTTTACTAGTTCCGGTGATACAAAGAGAAACAAGGTTTTTTTAATCAAAATCTAGAATGTTCTAAAAAGAAGGAAAAATATTAAAAAATAATTAAAATAAACTTTGATCTTTCCTCTTAATAATAACACAAGCATTTAGACGATAAAACTTTGCTTTCGTCTAGTTTGGCGTCTTTTTCATCATGCTATGCTCTTTTTTATAGCGATCTCATTGAGGTACTTATCTTAACATGTTAATGTTGAGCCAATGTTTAGCTGTTTCTGAAATAAAATATATTACCGAAATGTAAAAACTGACCCATAATATGTCCCCTTATTGCAAAGAACTAAATTCTATCTTTTAATCGATTCTTATAGCGATTAACATCTTGCCTATATTATGAAACCAGACGTTTTAAATTACAGATTTTTTTTAATCAGTTGTCGTGACGGCATTACATATATTTTTTTTTTCTTCTTAGCGACAAAAATCGTAAATCTCAGCATTTCGTTAATTTGAACATTTTTTTAAATTAACTTTTTCTTATGACAGAGAATTAGGATGGCAAGGGATTTTCTATAAAAGTTGATCGCTTCATCATGTCCTTTTTTAGAGAAGCTTTTTTTTAATTGACAGTATCTTTTTCGTCGGAATTACGGTGGATACAGGTTCCAAGGAACAGCTACTTCATATTTCGAAATATGAAAGTCCATGATATGTTTTCTTTTCATTGCAAATCACCTGATTCATATAATAAACTAAACACACAGCTAATATTTCAGATACATACTCACCAATCATAATTTGTTTACTTGTATTTCTTTAAATAATATTTATGTTGTGTTTTATCGCAATTACTACAGCTGACTATGTAATAGATAGCATGAACAAGTTCTTCGCTCACCGAAGTTTTCGGACACATATTCTTTAATATTTGGCAACTTTCTTTTTCTGATAGAATATCATTATTGATTAAAGAATATGAATTTAAATTTCGCAGAAGGATTCATAATTTTAGCTTTGATCCACGCTGATTATTTCACGGTCTTAGATCCTTTCCCTTATTCTATGTGTAATGTTCTTTCCACACGTTGGCGATCATGGCTCTCCATAACTACCTGGCCTTTAGAATCATATTTTCTCCAAAATTGTTTTAAGAGAAAGACCTTTATAAATTTTAACAGAAAGTAGTATTGGCTGAATGAACACTAAAAGCCAAATATAAACTTAAAAGGAAATGGTTAATATTAACATTAAAATGACTTCCTTCTAAATGATCAGGTGATTCATATGATAAACTAATTTTTTGACGAACACGATTAATATATCAGATATACAGGGTGATTGAAAAGTAACTCCCTATTTTAAAACACATATAATTCATTTATTAACTGTAATTTTAAAAGAAATGGATATGAGAGAAAAGAGTTTGGCATGGGGTTATATTTAGCATTCGATATGAGCACTAGATTTCGCTACCATTTTCTCGACCCAGCCCGGAATCTCTTGTGGTATGAAAGACATAAGTTCTTGTATTCGCCATTCAAGTTCTTCCAAAGTCTTGGTTTCGTATAGTAGACTTGTTCCTTTAACCAACCTCAAAGAAAAAAAGTCACACGATGTTAAGTCAGCACTTAAGTTACTTTTCAACCACCCTGTATAATTACCAATCATTTTTGATTAATTTACTGGTATGTCTTTCAAAAATGTTTGTGTGTTTTATCACAATGACTACTGCGAAATGGTACATAACACAAAGAATACTACCCCACAATTCATATGCGAATGCTCCAAGTTCTTCATTAATACCCAAGGGGCAATATACGAGTAGATTAAAGATTTTCACGTGTATTTGATGATATCGCAATTGTAAGTCAAATCCAAAGGCCGGGCAGGGTATGCTTATACTCAGTGCAAACAGGGAAATCTATAATCGAGAATGGCTAAAATAAAAACTAGACTAGATATCCCTAGACATGGCGCAACAGAACAATCTACTACCGTAGATTTAATAAATAAGGGGTTTAGTTCAGAATATATAGTATGCTAACTGGATCGAGATAAACCTGATGAAGGGCTTAGGGTACGTTATAATAACAATAATGATGAGGATAATAGAGTGAATGTACATACTGTAAAATAGATAGAAATTCAGACAAATCAATTTGTTTGATCATATTTCTGTGAAAAGATTCATGTTATGTTTGTTTTTCGGAAATACTACTAATGCCTAATTAATATATAGGAACAAATAAATAATACGCGTCCCCCTCTACCCCGCATCATTCGAATTTCACTTTCCGAGAGTATATCTATACTGATTAAAGAATATGATATCAAATCTCCCAGAAGGCTTAGTATTTTAAGCTGTGATCTACACTGCTTATTTCACAGTCACTGAATAAAGATCGAAAAGTTGTGATTAACGCAACAAAGAAGAAAAAGACAAACGAAAATTTGATAACGAACCTCGCAAAAGTTGCGATCTATGAATAAGATTTGGGTTTTGTTCATTCAGTGATAACTAGGGTTTTGTTCAATATATTGGATTCTCGATATGTGTGTAAAGAGGAAATACTCTAAGCGAAACAGATCGTACGGTATTAAAAATGGTGATGATTAACTTAGGCTCTTAAAAAATTAACACATTAAGCATTCAATGATCGAAAATACTCTCGGTTGAAATCTATAAACTATATTTATTAAAACAATTCTTTAGAAAAATAGACTCATCTAGTCAACTAGCTGTTATTACCCTTTCTTGTATTTTTGAAAGCTTCGTCTAGATAATTTTTTTTTTTTTGATAATATGGAAAATTTAATATCTTTATTTTATCATTATTTCCGCATTCTAGTTACATGTGCCATGGACTTTTCTTATTGTTGGTGTTGAAAGTGTTCAAGAGATGAACTATTTGCTATTTTGATAACCCTCATTGTTTGAGATTTTGTACCACCAGTCTATAGGACTGTCTCTTTTAAGACAAATTTGAAATTGTTTTGTGGAAGTTTTAGCGTAAATGTCATTCTTCAGAGAAAATATGTGATTTATCTGAAAGTTTTTTTTCATATTTGCTTGCATTAAGTTTAAATTTGAAACTAGTAGAAATCAGGAAGTTTCTCCCATAACCAAACACGAAAGTGCTTGTAAAATCTGAAAACTACTCTCAGAAAAACGCAGCATTTCCTTGATTTCAATTTCTTAAAACAGCTTTTGAGAGGCGTATATTTCGAAATACATATATTTTAGATAGATGCTATTTACACGCTTACAAAGAGCGTTGGATGCTAACTAAGGTCTTTTTTTAATGTGTGGTGTATGGAAAAATACCGAATCTACGTAACTTCTACTTTACTTGTCTGTCCAATGCACTTACCACTTGTCTACTTTTCTTTCGCTAGTATAATATTCACTCTGCTTAATTATTTCAGTCTTCATTGGCTTAGTGTATAAACATTAATAAATTTAACCCTTTCTAAAACCAAATCGCTACACACTGCTTCATGTCATGCTTGCCTTCATTTTCGTGGACATTTTTGAAAGACAATTGCAACATTTGTCGTTTGGTCAATATATGCTTTCGACTTCACCCACTATAAAAATGTTGCCCACAGTACACACTTCTCTATATTCTGAGAATTCTATCGATCTATTTATTTGCATATAATATGTTGTCCATGAATAGAAAACAGTGATAGATTATGGAGTACGAAACATATTGGCCAAAGCTATAAGTCTTTGCAGTTATCTTGCAAATCTATAATTAACCAGAAGAAAAAAAAAAAGAAGTAAAAAATGATTTCAAACAAGCTTCAGGTGCAGTCGACATACAAGAGAATCACCATGAAGTATTTATTTGGCTTTTAATTTTGCAGACGATTTCCATTGCAATAAGTAAAATGAATTTTGAAAATGTGATGTAATCAGCCAAGCTTACGAACGCCTCATCATATGATGGCTGTATTGGAATCTGCAAGAACAGTACTACATAAGATCCCCTCAAACTTTAGTCTTAGACTTAAGCGTTAAGAAAGTTTGTTAGGATGTCTCGTTGAACATAGATACGGTGCATCATTTACATTATTCGGAATATTGTCCTCATCTTCGTCGCCATATTTCTCACACCGTTTCGGCCGTTGTACGCTCAGGCCTTCTTCAGGTGGTTGGAATGTCGAACTGAACCCTTTATTTCGCCGAAACGTTGTGATAAATATAGCGACAAAGGCCGAAACCTTGTGATAAATATGACGACAAAGATGAGGACAATAGTCCGAATAATGTAAATGATGTACATAATACCTCATCTTAGAAATATAGACAGACTCTGATAGATACTGTGGTTTGATAAGTTTTAAGAGCATTGACGTGGAAAGTAATTATCAAGTTGCTCTTGTATTTATTACTGCCGTACTCATGTTCCTTGACACAGATGGCTTATGACCATATTGCGTTGAAACACCGCTTCCCGAATGATCACTGAAGTTAAGCAACGTCGAACCTGGTCAGTTCCTAGATGAGTGACAGCTTGGTATTACCAGGTGCTGTAAGCGTGAATGTGCAGATAATGTAATGGATTAAGCTCTGAATTTTTAATCGCTGAGCCGAATTCCAAATGCCGTTCGGTTCGTTATATTCACTTAAATACAACTACCATTTGGAAACGTATTAATCCATCTCTCCTCCCCAACAATAGGTTAATGTTTAAAATTTTTATCACTAAACCTTTATTATCTTCAAAATAATTCTCCAGTATAAAATATTTTCGACTTTTAAATAACCTACAAAAGGTTGATAAGACGTAAAAAAGAATCATGAAATACAATATGTTGACTTTTGCTTAATTAAGCAATGCAACAATAATATGAGAAACGTTGGCGGTACATTTGGTTCTATCGAATTTGTCTAGCAAGCATTTACTACTGTAGTGAGGAGACATAGCAGTGAGGTTTGAAGGCACGTCAATGCTAAATGTATTCTCAGTATTTATGGCCCAGTGTCTTACAATAGAAATAAATATTGAATATACGAAAACGGTGACGTCATATGGATGCTTGTCATATTTTGTGATTAAGATTAGATAGTAGAGATAAAGGTTATTCACTTGAGAGAGAAATCAAAACGCTGTAGCTAAGTTCTGGCAAGAAGTCTCTTTCATCTGGCACTTAAATAATACAATGGCGTTAATCAATCATAAAAACTGTATTCAGCCAAAAATGTAATTATATTCGTGTTTATATACAATGCAGAAAATAATTCAGGATGGTTTATTTTTCCCCGATTTCTTAAATTTAACTTGTGTTCTTTTTTATTGCATTTTAACAAGACAATATATTTTGTGAAATTCACTGGGGACATTGATATATGCATTGTATATTTTATTTTATTATTTTGAATTTGTAAGAATTTTTAGTGTTCATGAAGGTATTTAGTATATATATATATATATATATATATATATATATATATATATATATATATATATATATGCACGGATACATATATACACGCATGCATACATATGCACACACATACATATGCACACACACATATATATATATATATATATATATATATTAAACAATAAAAATATTAAAAAATTAAAATCTTCAGACACACTGGGTTGCAGAGGAATATTCTTTCGTTATTATTATTATTATTACTTCATTTAGATTCCTCGACGAGTTTCGGCCAACATGGCCATCATCAGGAGAGAAAAAAGCTTGCTGGTAGCAGTGAACAACAGAAATGAATGTCTGGATGGAGAAAATGAACTTTTGTCTGTAGTTTTCATTTGTTTTTATTTTTTTATCTTTTTAACATGACTTTTTAACATTCCTTGTCTGTTGACGCCCCCTGAAGGGATTGGGTGAGATACCCATATGAGAAAGGAAGAATTTGGGAGGACGATTCCCTTAAACTAGAAATTAAAGATTTCCAAAAATGGAAAGAAATAAATTTTCATGACCGAAAACAAAGAAATCCTTATTGTGGATTTAGAATTATCAAGGAACCTCAAACCCCGACAAGCCCACACCGGTTTTGGTCGGCGTCCGTATAAGCAGAGTCGCAGAGAGTGGACGGCAGTTTTTGGAGTTGGGGTTAGACAGACAGGCAAGGGGTTGAGCCAGAGTCAGGCAAGCAGTCGTAGGAATCTGACTGAAAGATCCACGCAATCATGACCTCAATTTCTAACCAAGAACAATTTATTTTTGAAGAACGACTTAGACTCACACCACCAAAACAAGTTTTACGAATATCGCCTGAAGATACACTAAAAGCAGTTTCTTAAAAGAACAATTTCAGATGTTAAAACTCGCCTAACAAACGCAAAGTGTCACGTAACCATATTAGCGGTTTGGGAGAAAGATGCAGTCCTGTATTCAGAAACCAGATATAAAATATTGTTATTCCTTTTTAACACATTTGAACTTTTCGAGTTATTACTTTAATTTCTTTTACATATTCTTGTGCGATATTACCCTTGTTCGGACTCGACTTGCATTACGGCCCGGCGACTGATTGATTTCGTCTGCCTAAGATCAAATCACAAGGTGGGCGGGTTAGACTAGAAATCAAAGCAGTTACTTCGGTAACCAGACGTTGGTGGCGAGCTGGGAACGACAGGGATTATACCGAATCTAACCAGATTCTCATCCGGTTAGAATGTCACATATGATGACGCGACCAATACCAAGTCACATTAGTCGTCACGTAACCAGGATAGCAGGACGGGCGCGGCCAGGCAGACGTTACATTTGTCGCAGCGACCCCGGGGTGACGTCACACGTTGTATCCACTTATTTTCATGGAACTCTAAAATCTTTCTAATGTTATCTGCTCTGAACTTTTCTATTCTCTCAATTACACTGAATTTGGCATGGGTTTTGAAATTGTGTTTTTCTAGGCAGAAATATTGTTCTACAGATAATATTTTTTCATAGGGAGTCGACTTAATTCGATTGCGATAATTATTAATTCTGTAGTGAAAGGGCCATTCAGATTTTCCTACATATTGTTTTTGGCATAGTGTGCATTCTAGGAAATAAATTATGTTATGACATCTACAGTTAGAATCGTGGTAGATTTTGAAAGTAGATTTAGTGACTGAGCTCGTCAATGAATTAGTGTGTCTAATGTGGTTGCAGCATAAACTTCTTTTGTTGTTAACTGGTTGAGAAAAACCTTTTGTTTATGTTGTTAGTTTATTACGGATTACCTTGACCCCTGAAATATGGTTACTACTTATGATTTCTTTTAGGTTCTTAGATTTTCGATATGCAAGAAGGCCGGGTTCCTTAAACAACTTTTTTTTTTTAGGTCTGGTTTGAGATGTAGTATTTCCCAGCGACGTTTGATTTTTAGGGATAGTGGAGGCAGAGTGGGGTTGAAAGTGGGTATTAGAGGAATGCGGCTAGATTTATTTTTAATCTTGTACATTAGGGTGTCTTATCTAGGTGTGGAAATTGCTTTATTTATTTGTTCCCTGATTAGGTGTTGTTTATAGCCACGTGTTGTGAATTGATGCTCCAGATTTTCAATGTGTTTATTTAATTCTTCATTGTTGGAACATATCCTTCTGAGTCTAAGTGATTGTGAATAGGGAAGGTTCTTTCTGAGGTGTTTAGTGTGGGAAGACTTAAAGTGTATATAGTTTTGGGTGTCGGTGATTTTAGTGTGTAGTGTCGTTTGTAGTTTCCTGTTTTCTTCTATGCAAATGCGGGTGTCTAAAAATGTTACCGATGTTGTGGATTTTTCCTAGTCAAACTTAATACAAGCAAAAATAAAATCTGGATTATTCATAGGATTCCCTCTCAGAGCCCTTAGGATATGTAGCCCGGAATGCCTAAACGAAGAAGAAATATATTGAGAAAACTTCACCAGCCACATCGTTTTCTTCTCAACATTAAAAATCTAGCATACAAAATCTCCAAAGCAAAATAAAAGAGCACCATCAAAAATATTTCGAACAAAAATTACGCAAAATTCATATCCCTACCCTCAAAAACTCTCTACTATACTCTCAAACGAATTAGTCATCCCTAATACTAGGGCCATTACCAAAAACCTCAAGACAATCGGAGATTTAATTAGGAACAGATATAAACCAAACACACATTTGATGGCAGGATTTATGAAATAAATTGTTTACAGTGCAAAATTGTTTATGTGGGGGGAGATATCACCTGGTCTAAAAGCATCTACGAACACAAGAGAGACAAACATTTGGACAAACGATCTAAATCTCTCGTTTTGCATCGAAACGACGCTGGACATAATTTTGATTTATTCCTTTTTTATTTTACCATCCTGTCGATTTGATCTGCATCTGATCTTAAACACTATATATATATATATATATATATATATATATATATATATATATACATTACATAGATAAATAAATGTCACACGGCGCTTAAAGATTTTTGGCGGAGTGATTTAGTCCATCGTGCTATTTTACTCACAGCCGATTAAAAACTGACCTGACCATACTGTACACTCGAAAACAAACACGTATGCACAATAATAAAAAAATATAAAATGACGGCAATTTACTCATCGTAGAAGATATATATATATATATATTGGAATCTCTTCGTCACCAAGGCCCATTTGGAACAATTGGTACGATGTTCGCTTGACAACCTAACTGTCAGGGTTTCAATTGTCGGTAGTGGATGCGCACTGCTGATGAGTCCCAAATATAGGACGAAACGGCCGTCCAGTGCTTTCTGCATTCTGTTGAGGTTTCTATCAGACTCGATGAATTAATTAAATATAATTATCAAATCCTCCTAATAATTACTATATATATATATATATATATATATATGTAAAAGAATATATGAATATGTATGTGACAAAAGTCAATAGAAAAAGACTGTTCAATACAGATAGAGGCAAAAGATAGCCAAATAGATGTACATTAAATTTTTTTTCTGGATTTTTGGAGACATCTATCTTTGCACATAATTGGGGGTATGGAATTATAAGTTACAAAAACCTGCAGGCTACAAGAAAATAAGTTAACACACATTCAAATGCATAAGTATATTAGCATTCTCTCTCTCTCATATATTATATACATATATATATATATATATATATATATATATATACATATATATATATATATATACATATATATATATATATATATATATATATATATATATATATATATATATATATACATATATATACATATATATATATATATATATATATATATACACAGATATATACATATATATATATACATATATACATATATATATATATATACATATATATATATACATATATACATATATATATATATATATACATATATATACATATATATATATATATATATATATATATATATATATATATATACACATATACACATATATATATATACCTACATATATACACACATATATATATATATATATATATACATATATATATATACATATATATATACATATATATATATATATATATACACATATACACATATATATATATATATATATATACATATACACACATATATATAT